TTGGAGAAAGTACAACCAGGGTGCTCCTTACAGGCAAGAATATTGAAACTGTCTCACTTACTTTGGTCATGTTGTCAGGAGATGACTAGTCTTTGGAAAAAGACACTGTACTTGGAAGGGTTGAGGATCAGTGAAAGAGAAGCAGATTCTCAACAAGGTGAATTGACACAGTGACTGTAACAGTGGATTCAAGTGTGTCAGAGATTGTGAGGATAGTGCAGGATAGGACAGGGGTCCAATCTGTTGTTCCTCATCCGCTCAGCAGCAGCTAACAGCAGCAACATTGCTCAATTTGTTTATACTTCATACTGTTGAGTTTACAAACCCCATCGTTAATTCATCATGACAACTTAAGACATTATTCTGGTACTTCACATAGAGTACAAGAATGTCTGTCTTTTATATTCTAGTCCTATTTATTTATATATATTGTAAAGTTATAAGTCACTGCACTTGCTGCAAAGGATTAAGAACTGCAGTCTTCAATGAGGATTTCATCTCAACATCAAGAAAACAAAGATCCAGACCCCCGCACCCTGCGAACAGGGCGCTGCGAGCCGCGCGGAGTGTGCAGACCGCGGCCTGCTGCCTGCGTGTGCTCTCGGCGTCCCGCGCGCCCTGCCCAGCGCAGCGCTGGGGACCCGGGCCGGGCGCTGTGCGCATACTGCGCAGCAGTCACGTTCTGCTCGCAGTGCGTAAGTTCACAGACAAACATGAATGGGTGACGACAGAAAATGGTGTTGGAACAGTGGGAATCAGCAATTTTGCACAGGAAGCTTTGGGAGATGTTGTTTACTGTAGTCTTCCTGAAGTTGGGACAAAGTTGAACAAACAAGATGAGTTTGGTGCTCTGGAAAGTGTGAAAGCTGCTAGTGAACTCTATTCTCCTTTATCAGGAGAAGTGACAGAGGTTAATGAAGCTCTTTCCGAAAACCCAGGACTTGTTAATAAGTCTTGTTATGAAGATGGTTGGCTGATCAAGATGACACTGAGTAATCCTTCAGAACTTGATGAACTAATGAGTGAAGAAGCCTATGAAAAATACATAAAATCCATTGAAGAGTGAAAACAAAGCCACTAAAAGTAGTCATCTAAAACAACTTACTCCTGCATTGCTGTCCTAAATTAGTAGGGGTTGAATTAAAGCAGCTTTTAGCAAAACATAGTGGAAAACAGAAATGACATGTTGCTGGAAGAAAGTAACTTTATAATGAGTAAAAATAAACCCAATATACACTTTTCTTCACATTACCCTGTGATTTTATAGTTATAATATCCAGAATTTAATAATTTACGTGTGGTAAGAATAGTTCTACATCTTATGGGTTCAAGGATAACAATGATATCTTAAGTCTGATATCATTAGTACCTACTGCTGACATCTGTACCTAGATGTGGGTCAGAATACTTAGCAAACTTTCCACTAGAAATGATAAGTTTTTGTTAGCTGTCCACTGTCAGCTAAAGAACAGTACTGTCTTAATTTTGCCATATACTGCCTTTGCTGGTGCTATTTTTTTTACAATGAAGCAGCAGCCTTGCAGCAAAATAAAAAAATTTAATAAAACATTAAAAAAATTTAATAAAACATTAAAAAAAAAAAAAAGAAAACAAAGATCCTCACCACTGGGCCAGTAGACAACATTATGATGGTGGAGAAAGACTTTAAATTGTCAGTGATACCATCTTGCTTGGATCCACAGTCAATAGCCTTGATACGAGCAGTCAGGAGATTGGGAGACATACTGCACTGGTAAAGTCTGTCAAGGATCTTTCCAAAGTCCAGACAAGCAATGATGTCAGTTTAAAGAGTAAGATGCTCTTGATTCAGGCCACAGTTTTTCCAGTGACCTTGGTGTAATTGAGAAATAGACTGTGAATAAGGGTGACAGGAGAAGTGATGCCTTTGAGCTGTGGTGTTGGAAAAGAGTATTCAATATCCCATGGATCACCACAAGAACTAACAGATAAATCTTAGAGAAAGTGCAGCCAAAGTGCATTCTGGAGGCAAGGATGATGAAGCTTTGTCTCTCATACTTTGGGCATGTTGGTAGGATAGGCTAACCCTTGGAGAGGAACATCATGCTTTGAAAGGTAGGGCGTCAGTGAAGAAGATGATTCTCAGGTAGATGGATTGCTACATCGTCTGTGGCTGTAGAATCAAATGTGTCAGAATTAAGGATGGTACAGAACAGGGCAGGGATCAGATCTGTTGTTCATAGGGTCACTATGAGTTGTACTTGGTAGCCACAACAACATTTTTATTTTGGACATCAGTAATCATTTAGAACGATTTAACATTTAAACAAAGAGTATGTACTGTTAATTATAACTGCTTCTGGAGAGCTTCATTTCTTTGTGTTAATCCAAGTTGTCTATTACCATATTCCATCTACATAAAGAACTTCATTAGCGTATCTTGTAGAGCAAGCTCTGATGTGTAGACAGTTACAATGCCCACCCAAAGGTGGCACCTCTGTGGTAAGTCCACCAGCGGCTAACCATTTACTACCTCAGAAACGCTCCGGAGGGCCAGCCTCCAGTTGAATTGGTGCTGCTGTTGTAGCCCTGCTGTGCTGCTGCAGCATTTTTTGAGAGCAGCTTCCACCTAATTCTCTCTCAGTACTTTCAAGATGTCATCTAACCTGCAATTTCTGATGAGAAACCTCCACGTCATTCCTCACTTTGTTCCTCTGAGTGCGATTTGTCTTTCTCTCTGGTTCTTTTCAGAATTGTTTTTTGTGTTGTAGTGATTTTATTTTGATATGTCTAGGTGTTCGACTGGAGTAATGGGAGTAAGGCATGTCAGAGACAATAAGATTGGCTCAGGATAGAGCAGGATTTGGGGTTGTTGTACATAGGGTCACTATGAGTCATGGATGGCTCAACAGCAACATGTCTAGATGGGGGGGGGAGGCATATATTGGCTGGTTGGGGTCTTTACGTGTGTTTGGTGTTCTCTGAACGTCATGGTCTTTTATTGTTACAGTTGCGCCATCATTATTTTTGTTTGTTCCCTAGTCAGTGTCCTTTAAAAGGGCTTTTCCATTTTGGCTTCTGGTCCTTCTAGGGTGTTGCTCTTAGATGCCCTGCTCCATTTATGTTCATGCGTTTCTTCGCAAAGCAGGTTATTTCCATTGACACATATTCAAGTTTTTCTTCTTAGCTATGGAAACATTCATCTTTTAACTAGTCCTAAAAAAGAAAAGAAAAATGTTATTTCTAGCATGTCCCTTTGATTCTTGCATTACTATTTTGAATACCCCATCAGAAAGTCCACCACCTGGCTCCTTGCTGGCGCTCTGGTGGCCTGGTGCATAAACATCTCAAACATTGCGTTGCCATCTCAGACACCAGTGATTCAAGTCTACAAGGCAGCCTCCTCCTGTGCAACTTGTCAGCCTGTGAATGTTCGCTGGAGAGTCAGCCAGGAGTTGCTTCTGACTTGATGGTAGAGTTTTGAGTTGAGGTCATTTCTCATCTGGTGGCTCTTGGTTTTTTCTTTTTCTTCAAAGTCTTGCTTTGGGATTTTTGTGTGGTTTTTTCCCACGTGTAGAGCAAAACAGCGGTGAGCAGATCACGGTCACATTTGAAGTACATCCCTTTACTGCTTCTGTGGGGATCAGGTCCATCTGGTCAGAGGTTGAGCTGGCATTTGTTGTTGGATTGCTGTCAGTACACCAGACCAAAGACACCTAACCTGCTGCTGTCATGTCAGTCTCACCATGGCAGGCCTCCTTTCTATTTGGGTGGCTGTGCTCTTCATCGGGAAATGCCCATCTTCTGCCGAGGGAATTACTCCCCACCTTGATAAGTGCCCAGCACCCACCCCTCACACCACCAGAGCTCCTCTGCAACACTGCTGGCTTAATTCTTCTCATGCTATGTTGTGTTTAGACTCGTGTGCTGTCAAGTCGGAACTGACCCATAGCTGACCCTCCAGCAGCCTTTCAGAGGCTGTCACACAGGAGAGGACTGCACATCCTGGTCCCACAGGGCAGCTGGTGGACAGCCAAGTGCTTAGAATGGGCCCTAGTTTGCCAAGTATGCTCTGCAGGTCCCAGCTCCAGCTTCAGGCCATCTATGCCCCCTCAGGAAAGCTTCTCGTTTTCTTCCTTCTCCCTGCTGGCCTGGGTCGGAGCAGGGCTGGTTCTCTGCAGGCCTGGTGCAGCCTCATCCTGTGTCAGTGCAGGTCCTGGGAGATCCAGGGCTTATCCCCTTCTCCTGGCTGCAGGGCACTTCAACAGGTCTCCTCCCCTTCCCTTGTGGTTTGAGGCTTCTGTTTCTTTGGCAGACCCATGGCAATGACCCCTCTGCATGTCTACAACCCAGAAAAGCTTCCTTCAGTGTCTGCATCTTTCTCCTGAGCACCAGGGAGAGATTGGTGAGGACCTTGGGAGTGAAGGACACACCCTCCCCCCTTGTCTCTGCCTCTTCTGCTGCTCCCTTGCCTGCCCTTGTTTGTCCTGCGTTCTCTAGGTGTGCAGAGCTCACATGCCCGACTACTTCCCAGGTGCAGAAGATCCAAGGCCACTCGGAAGAAAGGCCTACCCATCAGTGTCCTGAGCCCGGGACAGAAGGCCCTGTGTGCTGTAACATGCTAACATGTGTGATGGCATCATGGGTCCGTGCTGACTGCACAGCAGCAAGGTCTCCTACTCCCAGTGTTCTGTGCTTATCACACTGTGAGGTGGAGGTGCTGGCAGATGTGGCTGCTCTGTGCCTGCTCCCAAACTCAGCTCAGTGACAACCTAGTGGCCGTGGTGGCAGTCTGCTGCCATAATCAGCCAAGGCTTCAGTGAGGGCTCCCCTGCCAGAAAGCTCTTGAGTCACACCTTTGCTATGGACACCATTGAGGTGTGGTCCAGAGCTTGGGCACCAGGGACTCTTGTGTGTCAGCTGCCCTACTGGTTGCCCTGTGGCATGGTCTGCACCACAGCAGAAACCCTAAGGGGCCCTTTCATAACAAAGCTGGGCACTCACACCACTTCTCCCCTCAGAGCGCAGCCAGGACAGCACGGCTGTGGCCCTGTCTGACTCCAGTTCAACTCAGGAGTTCTTCAGCGAGCCTGCCAGTTCCCAGGAGGGCTCCCGGAAGTCCTGCCCCACCGAAAAGAAGACATCCACGCCTGGTGGCCAGGCAGGACCTCCTGGGAGAGACCTGCCCGGGGCCACAGAGGACAGAGGTACACAGGCTCACCAAAGTGCATGCCTTCCCCACCTTCCAGATGGCCCTCCAGCCTACTGGGTATGCATCCAGTGCAGGCTGGTGACCCAGCACCTCTGCCTCCCACCTGTGGCCTGGCCAGCCTCACTGGGGCTTCCAGATGCACAAGGACCACCAGTCCCTCTTCCCTGCTCATCCCAGGCTGCTGCCGAGCACTGTATGGCCTGCTGTGGTAAGCTAATATAATAGAGCTGAGACCAAGCCTCCAACTTCCCTTGGCCTGTCCCTCTGGGGCTGCCCCTGAGCAATGCAGAGTGAAGTGGATAGTATCTATGTGAGTCCACACCCAGTCAGCAGAGCATTGAAATGGGAAAGGGTCACCAAGCCAGCAGGTACTGGCACAGCACCCCTCCTGTACCTGGAACCTTCCCCACACTCTGGCACCCTGCTGGCCTCAGCATCACTGTGAGTCCACGGATCCAACAGGACAGACCTCCATCTTCCCTACTCCCCGGGCACCCTGCTGGCCTCAGCATTGCTCTGAGCCTACAGATTGCCAACATGGTCCCCCTACATCTAGGCAGCTTCAGAATGTTAGGAGAACCAGAGCAGGGCTGACAGTCTGCCTTCCTGCTTTGGCCCCAGGTCCTTAGACATCACCAGGAGTTGTCTCCCCATTGCTCTGCCTGCCCTGGCTCCAAGAGAGAAGCCATGAGGTCAGGATGTCATAAAACATGGCTTAGTGGAGATTCCTTTTTTAAAAAAGCGGTGGGTGACTCCCCACTATCCCATCCCTAATGTAAGCCTTCACTGTCCATCCCACACCCAGCTGTACCCACAGTGCTCAGGGGAGGGGGAGCATAGATAAAATGGCAATTGTCCCCCTGGAGGTATGTGCAGAAAATTGGGACCTGGCTGTCCCTGCTGCATCCCCTTGGGCCCCATGGTGGCGCTGTCCCCGTGAGACCCCGCCCCCCTCCCCCAGTGGTACTCCCTGGGTACCTGCTGCTGTGGTCAGGCTGCCCCAGGAGAGAGATGAGTGCTAGCATCACATATGACCCTCTCTGTCCCCTCTGTCCACCAGGCTGTGCGATGCAGCTGAGCCCTGTGCCTCAAGGTGGATGAGGAAACGGGGGCTCAGCACACTGTCCAGTGCAGTCAGCAAGCTCAGCACCCCGGTGGTGGCTGTGACCATGATCTGACTGGATGACCCGCTTCTTTCTGCTGCAGGCAGAACAGAGGAGTCCTTGGGGAACATTGAGGGCTTCCGGACAACAGAGCAGGTTGGCCCAAGGCCGGCTGCAGAGCCCCAGCCCGCCTGTCACTCCGCCAAGCCCACGGTGGCGGCCCCCTCCCTGTGGGAGGCCAAGAAGAGGGCAGACCCCACAGGCTTGGGCGAGCCAGCCGCCTTCCCCCAGGGGCTGCCAGCAGACACAGAGGAGCGGCGCCAGTTCCTGACTGAGCAGTGCATCGCCTCCCTGCGTCTATGTCTCAGCCGCTTTCCTCAGCACTACAAGAGCCTCTACCGTCTGGCCTTCCTCTACACCTACAGTGAGACCCATCGGGTAAGGCCCCATCTGGGCAGGGTGGGATAGCAAGGCCCACCGGGTGAAGCTCAGGCTTGGTGGGTGGGACAGCAACACCCACCTGGTGAGGCCTGGGGTGGGGCAGGGTGGATGGTGAGACCTGTTAGGTGAGACCTGGGACAGGCCGGGGCAGGGTGGGTTCTTGGCAGCTGACTAGGTCAGCAGTTTGAACCCAGCTTCCACTCTGAGAGAAAACTCAGCCACAACTCGGCTTACATGAATTAATAGCCTTGGAGACCTGAAGGCAGGTGTCCTGCGTCTTGCAGGGTTCTTACAAGTGGACAGGGCACTGAAGAGAGCTGATGTGGGAGATGCTCAAGGGCAGGACCCCAACTGCTTTTGTGTACGTGTGGGGTGAGGGTGAGGAGCTGGATCCCAGCTTTGTATGCATGTGGGGTGAGGGTGTTGGGACAGTACCCCGGCTTTGTGTACATGTGGGAAGAAGATGAAGGGGACAAGACCCCTACTTTGTGTGTATGTGGGATGAGGGTGTGTGGGACAGAACCCCAGCTTTGTATGCATGTGGGGTGAGGATGTGGGGAGCAGGACCTTGGCTTTGTGTGGGGGGTAAAGGTGAGGCAGACAGGTCCCCATTTTGTGTGCATGTGGGTTGAGGGTGAGGGGCAGGACCCCAGCTTTGTGTGCATGTGGGGTGAGGGTGAGTCAGGCAGCTTTGAAGGGGGAAGGGTGGCAGCCCTGAGAGCTGTCGTGTGAGGGCATGCTAAAACTGAGTGGACAGCAGAGCAAGTGCTACTTGGCCCTGGGCCCCTCTTACGCTGAGGCTCCAAGGGAACTTGGGGTGAGGATGGAGGCATCTAGGGAAGCCTGGTGTGGGTGGGCTGACAGGCAGGCCCCTGGGTGTGGCCCTGTTACCAGGCCTCAGTCGGCATCTGCCTGGCAACTCCACACAGGCCCTTCAGTTCCCCTGGACCCTTACTCACTCTCTCTTGGGACTTTTGAAGAACTAGGACAAACTTTTGCCCAAAAATGGATGTTGCCTGACAAGGTTGTGTGGCAGGAAAATGCTGTTCCATGTGGGGAAGGAGGCAATGCTGTGTGCCCATGTAGTAGTGGCTTCTGTCAATCTCACACCTCCTGTGGGGCAAGCTGTCCTGTCCTTGTTTGTGAGCAGGGTTTTCATACATGGATTTGTCAAATAGTCCCTTTGCTAGATTGGGGAGTCTTTTTTAAGAAGTAGTGTTAGGTTGTGTCACATCCCCCTTTATTAAAATCTATTGAGGTGATTATGTGATTTTTCTTCTTCCCTTCATCCTGCAGTGGAATATGAAGGGGTTTGGTGGTCTTTTTGTTGAAGCATGCTTAAATTCCAGGGATAATTACCATTTTAGTCGCAGTATGTAATCCTATTGATATGTTTGGATTGAGTTTAGTATTTAGTTGAAGATTTTTGTATCCATATTTATAAAGGATAGCTTAGGAAGTACTCTGTCGCTTTCTGTGTTAGAGAAGAGTCTGAGAATGTTGTTCATTTCTTCGTGTGATAAAATCCACCAATGAAGTTGCTGGTCCTGGGATTCTTTGTTCAGAAGTCTTTATTATGAATAGGATGTCCTCTCTTCTTACAGTCTTTTGAGTCAGTTTAGATCATTTGCTGACCTCACTTAGACTATCGTTCATAGTATTCTCTTATGATCTGGTGTCTGGGTGGACCTGGCCTTTCCTGATTCTTTGTATGTCCAGTGATTTCTTCCCTTTTAAAAAAGAATTTCTGTAGAGTCAGCGATTACTATCCCCACATAATTTTCAAACTTGGTTACTAATGTCCTCTTGTTTTCAGTCTAGCTAAATATTTTGGTAATATTATTGAGCTTCTCAAAGAATCATCTTTTTATTTTGTTCATTCTGTTGTTTTTCTGTTCTGATTCCTGTGTCTCTTTTCTTCCATCTGCTAGTTTGGGGCTTGGTTTGTGCTTCCTTTTCTTGTCTTCCTTGCCTCCAAGTATAAAGCTAGGGTATTAATTTGAGATAAATCTTCTTTTCTTAAAATGTAGGCACTTAAAACTATAAATTTCTCTCTGAGCACTGCCTTCTCTGGTATTCTGTAAATTTGATATGTAGCCTTTCTGTTCTCATTAGTACTTTGTAACTTTTCTGATGATTTCTTCTTTGATACATTGGCTATTAAGTACAGTATTCTATTTCCACATATATCCAAATTTCCTAGCTTTCTATTACTAATTCCTGGTTTTATTCTGTTGTAGTTGGTTTATGATCTCAACCTTTTCCATTTATTCAGACTTGTATTGTGACCTCACATGATCTGTCCTTGAGACTAGTCCATGGTCACTAGACAGGAATTTGTGTTGTGTGGCTATTTGTTGGGTGATGTTTTCTCCAGATCACTATTAAACCTAAGTGCTTTGCATTGTTACAGATCTGTTTGCTTGCTAATCTTTTTGTATGCTGTGTTATTGAATGTAATATATTGGAGTATCTCAGTTTTGTCATTGAACTTCTTTAATTCCATCCGTGTGTTTTGATGTTTTCTTGTAAAGGATCCCTGGTGTGTGATCAGGCTGCCAACCAAGAGGGGTTAGTATACTCCAACTGCTCTGCAGGAGAAACTAAGGCAGTACCTCCTGTGAAGGTTTATAGCCTCAGAAACCCAGTGGAGGCTCACTCCTTGTCAGGAAGCATCAACTCAGCATCAGTGGATTTAGATTTATAATAGACATATCTTTTTGATGAAGTGACCCTATTAGTACTACATGATGTCCTCCTTCTCAAGCTCAAAGAACTGTAAAGCAAATTCAAATCTCAAGTTGCAGTATTTAGAGATGTTGTTGTTATGTGCCATCGAGTCACCTGCAACTCATAGCGACCCTGTGTACAACAGCTCTGAAGCCTGCCCTGTTCTGAGCCGGTCTTACTGACTCCGACACACCTACCCCCATTGCCCCACTTACTGTATCAATCCATGTCATCCAGGGTCTTCCTCTCCTGCGCTGTCCCTCCACCCTTCCAAGTACGATGTCCTGTGGTCAATATCTTGAATGATCTAGGAACCATCAAAATAAGATGGGGGGGGGGGGTGGAAATTATAATATATTTTGGTGAGATCCTTGACAGCAGAGTTGCCGGAGGATGGGGAGATGAGAGACATAAGAAAAATTCTCACAACTGGCCCAATAGACAGTATCACAATTAGGGAAAAAATGTACATGGAGAGAATACACAGATTCACTGTTGTTGTTGTTGTTACGTGCCATCGAGTTGCTTGTGACTCATAGTGACCCTATGTCCAAGAGCTCTAAACGCCATTCTATCCTGTGCCATCCTAGCCATCTCAAACACACTTATTCCCACCACTCCAAACACAGAATCGATCATCTCATCGAAGGTCTTCCTCTCCTGTGCCGTCCCTCCACTCTGCCCAACATGATGTCCCTCTCCAAGGACCAGTCCCTCCTTGCAACATGCCCAAAGTATGTCAGACGAAGCTTCAAAATCCTTGACTCCAAGGAGCATTCTGGCTTCACCTTCTGTAGGACAAACCTGTTTGTTCTGCTAGCAGTCCATGGTATATTCAACACTCTTCTCCAGCACCACAGCTCAAAGGCATCAATTCTCTTTCTAGCATCCCTATTCACTGTCCATCTCTCTGAGTCATAGCACGTAACTGTGAAGACTATAGCCTGGATCAGGCGCACCTTAGTCTCCAGCCTGACATCATTGCTCTTCAGTACTCTTGAGAGGTCCCTCATAGCTGACTTTCCCAATGCAATTCATCTCTTGATTTCCTGGCTGCTGTTACCAAGAGTGTTGACTGTGGAACCAAATAAACTAAAACTGTTAACTATCTCAATCTCTTCACCATCCATACTGATGCTGCCAATTGGCCCAGTGGTGGGAATCTTTGTTTTCTTGATGTTGAGCTTCAAACCGTATAGGAGGCTGCAGTCCTTGACCTTTTGCAGCAAGCACTTCAGATCCTCTGTTTCAGCAAACAGAAACACTGAAGTATTTCAGGAAGTATCATCTGATGAAGAGTCACTGGTAAGGAAGGAAGTTCAAACTGCACTGAAGGCATTGCCCAAAAATAAGGCCCCAGGAATTGATACCAATTGACATATTTCAAATGACGATACAGCCCTGGAAATTTTGAGGTCAGCTATTTGGCCAACAGATTGGAAAAGGTCCATATTTGTTCTTATTCCAAAAGAGATGATCAAACAGAATGTAGATCTGTTGAACAGTACCATTAATATCACATGCAAGCAAGACACTGCTGAAGATCATTAAAAAACAGTTAGAACAATACATAGATAGGGAACTGCCAGAAGTGCAAGCAGGATTTAAAAGAGACCATGGCACCAGGGATATCTTTGCTGATGTCAGATGGATCCTGGCTGAAAGCAAAGAGTACTAGAAGAATGAATATTTGTGGGTTAGGTTTTTTAATTAAATTTTTATTTTATATTAGTTTGCTTACAGAGTTTGTACACATTGTGTTTCATATTGTTCTTCATTCACATTTGTTTCATACAGTCATTCCCATTCATTATGTTTTATAAAATTAATCACCATGGGGGGGGCCTCTGGTGGCCTAGTGGCAAGAAGCTGCACTGCAATCCCAGAGATACGTGGTTCGAATCCACCAGATGCTCTGCCGGAGAAGGAGGGGCCATCTCCTGTACCAGTCAGATCCGATTTGACGGTACACACACACACAAACAAAATAATAAAAATAATAATAAAAAAATACTTTAAAAAATTCTAAAAAAAAAATTAATCAACATTGGACTATGCCCACCATTACCCTGTCTTCTCAGGTCCCCACTGATTGTTCCCCATTTCCTTTACACCCTGCCTCCACCCACCAAACTGTGAGACCCTGTAATCTTACCCCTACTCACCGCACCCCTCTGCTCCCACCCCTACTCCCCTTACATCCCCATAAATATTAGTTATCCTTCTATTTTTACTGACTGAGAAAAACATTTGGCAATACCATCTCA